ATATATAAGGTTGTTTTTTTCTTACGTAATACAAACAATATGACTTAGTGAGTTCAGTGAAAGGTTGGCCACTTTATATATTGAGACTCTTCGTAATTACATTAATATCAAACAAACAACTACCGTCTACGGTGTGTGTTTGGCAAAAGTAGCTGGAAGCTGTATCTTTTATTTTTTTTATATGAGTGTTTGGTAAAAAGAGCGAGAAACTTTTGAATATGTAAAATTACATAAAAGGATTTTTAAGTGCAATTCTGAAAATTTATTTAAAAAACTCAGTAATGTTAGATTTGGAGTATTTTGTTTAAACTAAAGCGTTTTATCAAAAGTTAGAAGCTTCCAAACGCTCCGTGTCAAACACAACCATAGTAGGAGCATTTTAAAATCTTTTTCGGTCAAAAAGCCAATCTCCTATTGTGGAAGCTTTTTCATCCGTATAAATTTTCAATAAGCTTGTGCAGTTTAAGGTTGTTAAAATTGGGATCATATTGGCTAGGTATTTTGATCCCGATCATACTTAAATCGTTTTTTGGTGAGATCGGAGGTAGAATCGTAAGATCATAATCGTTGTTATTTATTTTAAATCTAATACTTTCTCTTTGGTTAACTGACTAAGTGAGTCAAATATGATGTATTTTTCATGTTTTTAACTATTTGTTGTTAGCTGATTGATGATTTTTTTTAACTGCTTTTAGTAAGATTTTATGATTCCGATTCGATTTTACGATCATGACATTGCAAATCAAAAAACGATCCTACATAAGATCTCGATTTTGACAACCTGGATTGTGCAGTTCTATGCTTGGTGTGATTTTTCTCTTTATATTTAATATAGTTTATTCCTTTTAGTTTATTAAATACACCAACAAATAAGCTTAATGGAAAAAGCTTTATTATACTGGACGTATGTTAAAGATTTTTGGGTTGTTGAGGCTACAAGAAAAATTCTCATTGAAAAGCTTTGTAATTGTAGATACAGTTATGCTTTTATTATAATAGTTTTGAAATAAATATTCATTTGTTAGCATCATTTTAAAACAAAATGGTAAAGTAGTAATATACTTGTATGCGGACAGATTATTCAAAGCCAAATGGTAAAATATTTTGTAATTCGCAATTGACATTATGCCAAAATCTATGATTGTTTTGTTTAAAAGATTGTCATTTTGTTAAACAAATCAAATCGTTTTAGTATAAATAATTTATTTTTTTGTAGTTATCCCAAGATTGTAACATGAACAATTATTCACTCTTTTTCTCTTTTCAGGATTTCAAATTTTGAATTTAGCATTTCGCCAAATACTGTGTGTATTACAGACATAAAGGAAGAAATATAATCATGAAATCTGAACGTTCAACACGAGAAAGGGACCCTTTTATCCACAACGGCTAAATCTCTTCATGTATAAAATTCAAAATCTTGAAACCAGAAAAACACAAGATCTTGTTTGAAAATGGCTTCTTCTTCTTCTTCATCTTTTCCATATCTTGTTCTGGCATGCCTGAACTTCACTCTCTTCATCCTCTCCGCAGCTTCATTAGCACCAACACTCATCCTCAAATCATCACCAACTTCAATGGGTTGGGCACTTGTCATGGTTTCTTCAATCTCTCTCCTCTCGTCTTTTATAGGCTTCTTCTCTCACTTTTGCTTCATGACTCATGTCACCCTCCTCATAGCTTCCATGGCTGCTCAAATGCTTGCAATTTTAGCCCTATTTACAAAGGAAAAATCCAGTCTTTCGATGCTGAAATCACCAAGAGACCCGAGAGAAGCAATGGTGTTGGTGAGGGTGGAGTGTGGGGTGTTGGTGGCGATGTTTGTGTTGCAGGTGGGTGTTTTCTGTTTGAGCTGTGGTGTGCATTGGTGTTGGGTGAGAAAGTATGAAGGGATGGAGGCGGCGATGAGGAGGAGCAGGAGTAGAAGGGTGGCGGAGGAACCGGTGGTCATTGGTGGTGTAGGGATGAAAGGGAAAGAGTTGGAGAAGATGAAAGTGGATTTTGAAGCCTAAAAATGTTTTGTTTGTGATTGATTGAAATCGAATCGAATGGTTGTTGTTACTGGTTATGTAACGAATCATTTTGAAGACATTATTTATTTGTGATGTTTTAATATTAAGTATTTATTTTGTAAGTTGATAAAACTCATTGCAAAAAAATGGTATGATGGTCATTTTTGTAATTCAATTAAAAGTTGGGGAATTTTTTCTATCATTTCTTAAGGTTATCTTTGTGAATTTCCCTAAAAATAATATCCTAATAAAGATGGGATACTTCGATTAAAAGTGGTGGCTAAAAAGCCTTCCACATGACATCCAATCAATGCCAATTGCCAACCAAATCTCAACCCATTTCCCTGGACACCCCTCTTCCTCCAACCAACCAACCAAAAAGTCAAAAATACCCCCAACACCACACAATAACAATGTTTCTCGTTTTTCAACATCCATAACCATCAAACCCAGATGGCAATTTCGTAATTATCCAAGATTTATCCAAAATAAACAACACTCTTTCAAGAATCTGCTACAGGGTCTGTTTTTATTCTTGTCTTGCAGAATATACACTTCATTTTCTCTCTAGTAAAAAAAGCCTTTTTATATACAAATGAATTGGTCAATAGCACACTAAATATCTACATAAATAAATCTATGACAGCAAGTTTTCTTTTTTAAACTCCAGGAGGGCCCACCTTGCAGGTAGGAGATTGTGTTAAGCAACAAA